ACAAACAGCTTTTCTGACATTATTTAAAACATTAGATAGATTATATAAACTGTACAATATGTTATTATTATTATTAATAGTTTTAATGATTTCTACACTGTTAGTCCTTTTTTTCTGCTCTGTTGTCAACAGTGATGGGAAATCCAGACTTTTGATCATTTTGCGTTAGCCGTTAGCTTCACCAGCCGATCACACGGTCACCTGGTTTCTGAGCAGTCCAGCTATTCTATATAACCTCCTTGGGGTATACAGACCAATCCACGTAATAATGATGCTAAATTCGAGTTATGTAGTTTAAATCTTGTAGCACCACGTCCTCAGAACAAAAGTCCAATTCCTTTATTTTGTTTTTCCTTTTAATTTTCCATGTCCCGAATGTCTGAGAATCCACAGACAAAATCTGACAGTAATGTTGGTGTCGGACCATGCCGACTAAAGTAGTTTTGATATTGTAGTTAGTTTTACTTTCAGCACGTCTCATCGCTTTCATTCTATAAATACATACTTTACCAGAGCAGCTGACCACAGGCAGGTTAAGATTTAAACAATGAACTAAACAAGCATGTCAGTTAATTATTTACCTGGCTCTAACTGCACAGCAACTTCAGAACTGACATGCTAACATGTAGCATCTAGGGTAGCAATRTTTTTACTTCTGTAAACAGCGAGCTGAATGTGACGTCACCTCTTCTTCTATACACGCTTGTCGCTTTGACTACATAAAGTGTTCCCACTAGAGTCTAATGGAGGTTGCATTTAAAATGTGAAYGCACACACACACAAAAAAAGTGTATCTGTTCTGGGTATTGGTGCATTTTGAACTTGTAAAAATGCTGGTATCGGTGCATCCCTTAGTTCTCTACTGTTTTGCTCTGCATACAGTCAAGCATGCTCCCCTGGTACTGTGATTCTAATTGCACAGAGATGAACCAGTTCAGTGATATACACATTCCACCCCTGCCATCTGCTGTGGTCAACAAAGCCTCTGTATTACTGCATATAGGACAGGAGGCAATGGCAAACACTAATCAGTAGCTTGTCTCAGGATAAAAAAAAAAAATCTGTGTCAAAGGTTTAGTTAACATCTGTCCAGAGTGGACATTATTTTAACCWAATGGGTGCATTTATCTCTGGTTGTATCTATAACAGATTACTGTGTAGAGAAACACCTGCCACACATACACTTTCTGCTTTTTGACACAGGAAGCTTTAAAGTTACTAAGAGACAATAGAGAAAAAAATGATAAAGATTCAGCACCAGAATGGAAGGCGGAGTCATCTGGTGCTTGTTGGCTGGCTTACATATTTAGTGCATCCAGAGGACTGCCTTCCTTTAACCCAGGAGCTTAAAGTCATTTCACTAATCTCTAACGCACCCAGTTTTAGCTCCTTTGTCATTCCAAATGCCTTGACCTGAATGATAAGTTACAGTAAAAAATAAAAAATAAAAAAATGTTTTCTGTGCATCACTTGCAGCTTTATTTAAAAATACAATACTTTAGAATTTACGTTCTTCAGAATCAAAATTTTCACAGATTTCCTTTGCCTCAGCTTTATTTTTTTATTATTTGTTTGTTTTGGATTATTTTCATGCTGATTTTTTTCCCTTTTTATTTTCTTTCTTCCTGATTTTTTTTTCTTTTTTTTCTTCTTTGTATGGTTTGGCTGCCCAGCTGAAGATGATTTATCTGAACAATTCTACTATCCCTTTGGGAGAGTGAGCATTGTTGCAAAGGAATAGTGTACACACTTAGATGCACAGAAACACGACTGCACACAAACAGAAGACATGACCTCCCACACATCGACTCACCCGTATGATAAAGAGTGAGAAAACACCACAGAGATCTGCTGGATGCTACATATACCTTCATCTACTGTAAATCAGAGTACATATTCTCAGCTATGTTCTTCTACACATCACAGCATCCTTTTAGGAAAAAAAAGATATATATATATATATATATATAAATGCAGAGGAAAGATATATAATATGATTCAGTATAAATTCTCTTATTGCTGTTTTTTATTTTCTTTTTTTCTGAAACAAATGTCCTCACGAGAATGCAGTTACAATAGTAGATGGTTTATAAGTGGACTTGATCCTGACATTGTCCAGCATTGCCCTTTCTGTCTGCTTATTTTTGTTAAATGTTGTATTGTAAAATGAAAGCAGCTGTGAATCCCTTTGCATTACAGTGTCAACAAATAGATTAGCCCATGAAAGAGAGAAAAAAATGAGTTCCTGCACATAGCTTATGACTACCGGAAAGGCCACCAATATTCAAGCTCAAGAGTTTTTATTTTTTTAAGAAAATTATATTTTTCATAAAGGATGGGTGTAGCACACCAAGGACAAGTATTGTTTTGGCTTTATCTATGCTACAGTTTTCTAAAGGAAATATATGATTAAGTATTTGAGAGTGGGCGGGATTTCACAAAGATTCTTTTAAAATAATTTTAAGAGTAAATATTTCTAACCTTGTCTCTAGCCAGAATTAATAATTGGAGTCTTTTAAATATGTACAACTGCAAATAGGTTATTTGATGCATGATGCTTTATGTCAGGGCTATTCAACTAAATTGCTCTGGGAGCCACAGTTAATGCAGACCAACAGCTCAGGGGCCGAACATCCAGAAATTAAATTTGTTATGTAAATAAAACCAAGTATTACAAAGGTCTGTTACCTTTGAAATAGTTTATTTTGCTATATTTAATCATGAAAACATGCAGGACCCTATTTAATAAATGTAGTGATGATAAAACAAACAAAAAAGAAACATATTAGGCCTCTTATTTACCACAAAATAATTTGACATCTCTGACCTGCCAAATTTTGAAACCAATTTTATTTTCACTTTCATAGTTTTATCTTCAACTGCTTGTAGTTTTAACTGTATTGGATGCTCATAAAAATAGTTTTTACCAGCTTATAGCTGAAATTCTGACGTTTCTGTAGATACCAAACATGTCTATGTTTAACTAAAA